TAACATTTACCTCTGCTTCCCAACTAACTACACCAACACTTACATTCTTGTCTATCTGCTAATGCTAGTTTAGCCAAAATAACCAATCTACCACTTTCTCTATCCACAAGTATTCCCTGCAGAACATCTGTCACCCTAATGTTATTGGGTAACTTTAAGCCACAATTCATTTGTTGGGTTCTTGTCTTAAGTTTAGAGAAGCATTCTAAATTCAGATACAAACAAGATGGGCAACGTGGTAAAGTTCAGGATTTATTTGGGGAAGTGAGAGAAATACACAGGAATGTGAGAGCTTTATTAAGGGAAAGGGGCCCAAGAAGGTAAACCAGGAGTTCCATACCAGGCTCTTCCAGAGAGTGGACCAGAGACTGCAAGCAAGAGAGGGCACAGGGATAGGAGTGCACCTAGAGGTGGCACATGAAAGCAGGCACGAGAAGAGGGAAAAGATATATGAAAGCGCACAAAAGGTATATGAGAGAGCAGGGTGGGCCCAGCGTGCTCCACACCTCTTACTCATTTCTAATCGGGAAGTGGCTACATGGCCTAGTTGACAGGTGGACAGGTGGGTGGAAACAGCCGAGACCAAGTAGGGGCAAGAGGGTTGTGGTCTCCAGCTCATGAACCTAACCAATCTAATCCTATCTCCCTGGTCAGGTCCCATATCACTAACACTCCTCCTAGGCAGCTTGTGATTTGCTACCTGAGTGTGTACAGTGGTAAGAGGACTAGCTAATCCCTAATACCAGGCATTTTCTTTATTTTTTTAGAAATATATATTTATTTACTTGAAAGGCTGAGTTACGGAGAGAGAGGGAGAGAGAGGGAGAGAGAAGGAGGTAGGGGAGAGAGAGAGATGTCTTCCATCTGCTGGTTCATCCCCACATGGCTGAAAAAGCCCAAGCTGGGTCACACCAAAACTAGGAACCAAGAATTCCATTGAGGTCTCCCACATGGAAGGAGGGGAGCCAGTACTTCAGCCATCATCCAGTCATTTCTCAGGAGCATTAGCAGGGACCTGGATCAGAAGCAGAGGAGCCAGATTTGAACCGGTGCACATATGGGAACCCGGCATTGTAGGTGGTAGCTTAACTCTCTATGCCACAAAGCCATCCCTACTACTAGGACCTTTCTAAAGATATACAAAAAAAAGGAGTTCTCTGTTTATTTCTAAGGAAGAATGCTGTTTTTATGCAAACCAATACGGTCTTGTCCATGACGCTTCTCACGAGCTGACAGACAAGACACACAGAATTTGACAATGGATGTCTAACCCTTAGAGCAGCTGGTTTTGAAAATCACTCTGGCTACCTTGGTTTGGCCCCTTCCCACTCCCCTTATAATGGCTTTCTTCTTCAATCTCGAGAGCCATGCCTCCGTCAGTCGTGAGAGTGGTTTGTTCACTCAGTGGTCCAGAACCTCACGCAAACCATGCCAGCGACATCCTCCTACTGTGGGACATCTGGTACTGGCCACTGCCTTAAAACCGTCAGTTCCCGTGGGACTGGGGAGGGAAAGGAAAATCACCTCCCTGACTATGCAGCGTCTCAGCAGGAAGCATCCCCTGAGACTGCCTTCTCCCGTTTCCCGGTTCCTTCCCTTTCTCAGGAACATATTTTGCATGAAATACCCCAAGTCGTTTTACTTTCCATTCCTTTCTTTACATACAAAAATGCTGGACTGTTACGACTTGTTAGGTTATAGGGGATACAAATGATTAACTCTGCACCTGCTAAAAATGGGTTCAAGCGAAATGACCTGAAGATAAATACTGTGGTATTTAGTTGCCGAAGATTCTGCTCATTTGACTCTAACTTTTACAGCTCCTTGCCAGAGATATCCTGGGCTGATAAAACCATGCAGTATGTATTGTTGACTTTTTGAACACCTGACAAGAGGGCTTTTTTGCTCATCCAGGCCCAATTTATCAAGGTGGATACAGATCTCTGCAAGAATCAGGCAAATAACATCAAAGGACAGCTGCTCACAACCCAGACCTCCCAGCTTCCTGTCCAGGTGAGTTAAATCATCTTTATCTTGACTATGAGGGTATTTCAAAAAGTTCACAGAAAAAAGAAATGATAAGTACATTTCAGTGCAAAAATTTTTTAAAATCCATGCATTTTGAAACAACTTTATGCCAAAATATTGACTGTTAAATGAAATGAATTAACTTTACAAACACAAAAACAAATGACAATTTTCAAAGCTCTGTTAAACTGAATTTATCAGTTAACTGCCCTCCCCCAAAAATCTTTAGTCTCATAGAAATTCATTTCTGAATTTGGATAAACATGTAACTACAGAACTGAATGATTTTATATAAATTCTTTCAGAAAATGAAACATGAAAAAACTTTCTCTAATTCATTTCCTCACACCAAACTCTGATAATGGATTAGCCTTTGTCACTGAGAACCAAGCCCAAGCCCCGTGGGTCCTTTGGAAGCTGCCTGTCTTCTGGCCCTATTGGTCAGGTGGACAAAGGGCAAAGGAAAGCTCGGGGCAGTGGGTCCCAGTTGGGCAAGTTCAGTCACTGCAGCTTCCCTCAGAAACCCAGGTTAGGGACGTGGGGAGGGCAAGGGGAAGAAATATCTGGATTTACCATACCTTCACAGGGCAAGCCAAGTCTGGTGAGAAGATCCGAGAGGAACAGCTTGGTTTATCATACAGAGACCACACTGCATGAGGCATCTGATACTTATGGAGCTTTAGGCAATAAACCAGAAGGGGATGGCAGGTGGCAGAAAAGCCATGTAGAAGACAAGAGGAAGAGCTCAAGTTGAAACACTTCCTTCAGTTAAGGGTCCTGAAATGGCCAAAGTGTAACCCCAGGGATTGAATTCTGAGTTGGAGGAAGTGGAAAAGAAAAACAGACATGTCGCCATGCAAGTTGGTCCACACTCGGTTTATTGTTTCCTTTAGCTGCGATCGGGTGACAAAAGGCAGGATTTTCATTTCTCATTGAAACCCTTGACATTTCCGTTGTCTTTTGAAGGAATTACTAGTTACTGTGGGAGAGGAGGAAAAAAACACATGATCAAGTTGTAGATAGTAAATTTCCTCCCACAGCAAAACACAGAGTTGTGGTACTGCCTAGTAAAAGGTTCGTGTTGAAGCCTTTAGGATTTTCTTTGATTTCAGGGAAACTATCATTGTTAATCAGAAGTATTTAAAATGAGAAAAAGGCCGGCGCCGCGGCTCACTAGGCTAATTCTCCCCCTTGCAGCGCCGGCACACCAGGTTCTAAGTCCCGGTCAGGGCGCCAGATTCTGTCCCGGTTGCTCCTCTTCCAGGCCAGCTCTCTGCTGTGGCCCGGGAGTGCAGTGGAGGATGGCCCAAGTGCTTGGGCCCTGCATCTCATGGGAGACCAGGAGAAGCACCTGGCTCCTGCCATCCAATCGGCGCGGTGCACCAGCCGCAGCGCGCCAGTCGTGGCGGCCATTGGAGGGTGAACCAATGGCAAAGGAAGACCTTTCTCTCTCTCTCTCTCTCACTGTGCACTCTGCCTGTTAAAAATAAATAAATAAATAAAATAAAATAAAATGAGAAAAAAATTTTTGGCTGAAATGTTCATGAATATTAACATATTTTTAAAAGAAATATTAATTTTAGTTTTTCCATACTTTAGACTAAATAACTTCGGTTTTCAAGTTATCAACAATTTTTTGCTATTAAAAATCCACAGACCTGAAGCATTGTGCCTATGGTTCTGCTTAGGAGTTTGTTTCTATAAGCTAATTCATTGATTTTTACATCATATTGGGCTTAATTCTTTCGTTCCATTCTATCAACAGCAGCAAGTTTCTAATGACCTTAAGGGAACTTTATTAAGCTGAATTTTAAAATACTGTGGTTTAAATATTCATCAGTTTAAAAATTAGTAATTTTTCATAGGTTATTTATTTGTGTAATATTTCACCAATTCATTGGCTTACTCAGTACTTAGTCATTAAATTCCAATGCACACTCATTTTAACACACATTTCCTAATACACTTACCTACTACTACTTGTTGATTGGGTGCTTTCCTGTGAGTCTGATCTAAGTGAATAAGGAAATGACACTTTTAGATTGACATAAAACAGGTGATATAATGCAAGTACAGTCATGCTTAATTAGTATGGCAATTTCTTCCTCTTTATACCTTCAATTTTGTAGTAAAAAATAAATATCTGTCAAGTTTCTACTTTTAAATGCATTATCACCAAAAGCAAGCTAAAATTATTTGGCCTCTTTTCTATTTTTCTAGCTATAGAGTCCTTATTTCTAATCCCCAAATAACCTGGGAGAGAAAAAAAGAATGAATTGTGCACAAACGAATCAAGATTAATTTGCAGAGAAAACAAGTAAGATTAGTAAGAATTCAGTAATTACAGTGGCATAATATTGACCTCCCCACCTCTGCTATGTTGTACCTCCAAAAGTTATAGTTGCTCTTTCAACTACTTCAAAAATACTCTTTGTAATATAGCTAGTTCCCCCCAAAAGCAAAAAGGAAATTTATTTATGGAGATTTCTGAGTCCTACTACATATATGTCTGTCTTTCAAAAAAAATCTTGTTTAGTTATGTCTGCCAAAGTAGTTAACTACCAACAGCCCTCACTGGATTTCCAACAGAAAATATTAAAAATAGATGTAAAAAGAACATGGGACCAGTAAAACCACCTACAAGCTGTTCCACTTCTGATCCAGCTCCCTGATAATGGCCTGGAGAGAGCAGTGAACGATGGTCAAAGTACTTGGGACCCTTCCACCTACATGGGAGACCCAGAAGAATCTCCTGGTTCCTGCTTCAGCCTGACCTAGCCCTGGCCCTTACAGCCAGCCGGGGAGTGTACAAGCAGATGGAAAATCAATCTCTCTCTCTCTCTCTCCCTCTGTCTCTCTCTCTGTAATTTTGACTTTCAAATAAATACATAAATCTTTTTTAAAAGGAAGAAATATAGAAAAACATAATAGGTGTCATAACAGTAAAGCATTGTACCTGCTTAGCTTACTAAATTTAAATGAAAAATAAAAGAATGCTTTTCTGTATTCTATAAACAAAGCTAGACTAATGAATTAATAGTCTAAATTATATTCTCCAAATGATGCTTATATTGTCCTATAGTTGATGTCTTCTAGATGATGATGATGATATTTGAATGCCATATTCTAAGATTAGAGACAATCTGTTACAATTGGAGTACTTAACACTAATTAATATGGTTATGTGAAATTCAAGAGTAATAACTCATTCAATAAACAAATGTCTATTGAGCATTTATGCTGCAGAATGACACTATAAACTGAGAAACAAAAGAGGCATGTCCATTACCCTAAAGCAAGTTCAGATCCTAGATGAGTACAACGTTGGGAGACCTGTATGACTGGAACACTGCATCACAACTCCCTGGCGACAGTGACAGAGACAAGAGGCAAAAAAAAAAAAAAAAAAAAAAGGTTTTTTCCCTCATACTTAGCTTGTTGAAAGTAAGAAATGTCTATAAAAGTGTGGTTAGAGGGCCGGTGCTGTGGCGCAGTGGGTTAATGCCCTGGCCTGAAGTGCCAGCATCTCATATGGGCACCGGTTCTAGTCCTGGCTGCTCCTCTTCTGATCCAGCTCTCTGCTATGGCCTGGGAAAGCAGTGGAAGATGGCCCAAGTTCTTGGGCCCCTGCACCCATGTGGGAGACCCGGAGGAAGCTCCTGGCTCCTGGCTTCAGATCAGCGCAGCTCCAGTCGTTGCGGCCAATTGGGGAGTGAACCATCGGATGGAAGACCTCTCTCTCTCTCTCTCTCTCTCTCTCTCTGCCTCTCCTCTCTCTGTGTAACTCTGTCTTTCAAATAAATAAATAAATCTTTCAAAAAAGAAAAGAGGGGTTAGAGAGAATGGATACAGAAATACTGCAGCTTTCTTAGAGGATGGAGCGTCTTCCACCAAGAAGGAGAGATACTATATAATGTCATAGCGTTGCCTAGAAAATAGCTTGTGGCTATAAAAGAAATTCTGCATAGCAGTGGATTAATGTAACTAGAAGTCACTTCAAGAAAAAATACAGGATAAAAAAAAGAAAACTTTATGAAGAAGATGAGTAGACATTTCTCATTTGATACAAATGAGAAACTAAAACTTAGAGAATTCAAGAGCATCCTTGTTAACAAAATTGTAGGCTGTTGAGGGTCTTAGGGAAATATTGAATTTTAGTGTGCTTATGATGCTATCTCTTATATAAACTTTTCCAAAGTGGGGAACTCCTTCACTCAGTTGTTCATATTTTGTTTATTAGTCTAAATGCAATCTAAATGAAGAAGCAAAATTTTCTTTTATAAATGTTAGCATAAACTATTGAAAAATGTTCATCTTGTACATTATACAAACTAATTATAAGTACCTATCTCTTACTATATTTCTCTGTGTGAGTCACAAGTATAGGTGATTGATAAAAATTTAGTCAACCAAAGAAAAAAATATTAAATTAATTGATATCTGTTCCTAGAATGGGAAATAATACCAAGCTGATTTAGTAACAGTACTTTATCAAGTGTGGATACTTAAAAATTATTGTGCATATATTTGTGAATTATCAACTTTTTCATTCTTAGTTTTCAATATATTTATTTATAGGAAATACTATCTAAGTTCTTTACCTGCTGGTTTCTGCTTGAGTACTATCTTCTGACGTGGATCTAAATAAAAACATCAAAAAGTCACTCTGAAGAAACTTGCCTACTTTGAGAATAGGCCATTTTGTACCAAAATTAATTCTTAAACACACAGGGCATGCAGATAAGTAATGTTGTTTACTCAAATGTCAAGTGCAATATAAAAAACAAAATTAAACTTCTGCAGTGGTGAAGAAAATAATGATAAAACTGTTTTTCATTATCACTGCTAAGCACAAATTATAAATTTGACTCTAAATTCCTAAATTTGGGCTACAGGGTTCAAATTAACTTTATTTGCTAATATGGAAATTATCACATTGTACAAAAATAAATTTGTGCTTAATTCAGGGAAATCTAGAAGACTGAACTGACTGCATAACTTCTCCCTTCTATTCCACACAATACAAAAAAAGCTAAAGAGAATAGCATACAATTTAACACAAAAGTCAGATTGCTAGCCATTAAAGTTTCAAAGACTGAAAAAGCTAGAATTTCAAAGACAAAGAAACAAAGAAGGAGCTAAAGCTGAGTGCCCTAAGTGATGTGCTTCTAAGAATCCTAGCTTGGAAGGAGTTGAGGGATGGACCCACACATGTTTGAAAGCTGGGATTCTAAGAGGGGTAAAGGCCTGGTGTCTGTGCTGTTATATTGCTTTGTTAAGAATATCCAGGAGTAGCTTGAACAGCCCCACATCTCTAAAGCCAAGTAACCAACCACAGAGAGTTTCAATATCCCTCTCAGGCAACTGCAGGTGCCAAGTTGTTTACAGTGATCCCTCACCCTTTGACCTTGCCCTCCTCCCCTTTTCCTGCCACTCATACTTAAAAAGGACTAGTTACAAAGGAAAAGTCAAGATGGCTTCTTTAGTACACCATCCCTGTCAATGACTCAGCTTACTAGTACTCCAATTAAACTCACTTTCTTTGCTACAACACCTCACCCTTGAGTTATAAGACTTTTCATGTGGTAGCCAGATGGGCTTGAACGTGGCAACAATTGTTGGTGAGCCAGGCAATGTAAGCTGTTCAAGGGTGTCATTCTTGTTTCAAATGACCCTCCCTGGGAAATGTCTAGTAGGTGCTAGAACTTTTTGTTCTGGGGCTTTCCCTTGGACTCCCTACAAAGGTTTTGGCTGACCCAAGCACTACACTGTTGAAGAAACATCTGATTCTGTGGGTCCCCTGCTTCTCCTCTGAGCAGAGTAAGTTGACTTGGTATATAAAACTGAGAACTCCTTTATCCTCCACTTGGGACACTCCTTTAGGAAGCCTAATGTGTATTTTATTTGACATAGGAGCCCTGTTGGAGAGAGGAAAAGAGTTAATAGGACTCGTACCCAAATTCTGAACCAGATATTTTGTGGTTATTTCTATTTCCAAGCCGAAATTGTGATTGTTTGCAACTAAACCCTTTATATGATTGCCATTGGGTCATTTGTGGCTTGTCTGTATCTGAACCTCTCTTTCTCTTCCATTTTCTGTCTGAAGTAGAAATTATAGTGGGAAATGCACCTTCAAGCCCTAAGGAGAGCCTATTGAGGCATATTTCGGTAAATTGTCACAGTGTTGGTAAAATATCATGACCAAAACTAAAATAATTTATTGTAACAGACTGTCCTCGTCTTAAAAACGATGGGCCATGACTTCCAGTGAGAGAAAAATGGCTGCAGCCATTGCAAACTCATGTGTTAGTGCAGGGAAAAAAGCTGAAAAATTTGCTAAAGAAAAAGAAGAAGGTGGAAATGATTGCCAAAGTCATAGCATCTGAGCTGGAAGAGGAGGTGAAAGATGCTTCCGACAGTGGAGGATCTGTAGGAAGCTGTGGATTGGAAAAGGGTCATTTTTCTGATGATGAAGCAATAGATGCTGACAATGAGGATGCTGATGAATCCTGTGACAAAGAAAATGAAAATGCTGGAGAATCATGTGCTAGAACTAATATGGGCTGGGCAGATGCCATGGCTAAAATCCTCAACAAGAAAACACCTAAAAGTAAACCCACCATTTTAGTCAAAAATAAAGAACTGGAAAAGGAAAAAGAAAAGTTAAAGCAAGAAAGACTTGAGAGAAGAAAACAGATTGATAAGAGGCAAGAGTGGGAAATTATGTGCAGAGTAAAGCCAGATGTTGTCAAAGACAAAGAAGGAAAGAGAAATCTTCAGAGAATTGCAACAAGGGATGTGGTGCAATTACTTAATGCTGTCCAAAAACATCAAAAGAACATTGATGAAAAGGTTAAAGAAGCTGGAGGCTCTATTAGAAAGCGTGCTAAGTTGATATCAACTGTTTCTAAGATTTAATCAGTGTTCTGAGAGGAATGGATGGAACTGCAAATGAGAAAAGTTCAACTGAGAAGCTCAAAAGCCAAACAGACTGAAGCGAAATCAGAAGAGGGCCCAGGTTGAACGATCCTCCATGATGATTTCATGATGGGAGCATCTATGAAAGACTGGGACAAGGAAAGTGATAGGCCAGATAACAGCAGACCAGAATCTACAAGTGACTCTGACATGTAAAATAATAGAGGTAACATAGTTTTCAATCAGTTTATTTTTCCTACAAAGATACTCTATCCTCTGGCAGTTTGGGAATTATAATGATAACATTTGTAAGAAAGCCAAAAGACTTACTAGCTTTGATGTGGGGAAAAAGGGACACTAACCCACTGTTGGTAGGAAGGCAAACTGGTAAAGCCACTATGGAAGTCAGTCTGCAGATTCCTCAGAAACCTGAATATAACCCTACCTTACAACCCGTCCATCCCACTCCTTGGAATTTACCCAAAGGAAAATAAATTGGCAAACACAAAAGCTGTCTGCACCTTAATGTTTATTGCAGCTCAATTCACATTAGCTAAGACCTGGAATCAACCCAAATGCCCATCAACAGTAGACTGAATAAAGAAATTATGGGGCATGTACTCTATAGAACACTATACAGCAGTAAAAAAAAAAGGATCTGGTCATTTTGCAACAAGATGGAGGAATCTGGAACACATCATGCTGAGTGAATTAAGCCAGTCCCAAAGGGACAAATATCATATGTTCTCCCTGATTGGTTACAAATAACCAAGCACCAAAAGGAAACCTGTTGAAGTGAAATGGACACTATGAGAAACAGTGACTTGATCAACCCTTGTCCTGACTGTTGATGTACAATTTAATATTTATCCCTTTAGTATTTTTTGTTCTACTTAATACTATTGGTTGAACTCTTTAATTAACACACAATTATTCTTAGGTGTTTAAATTTAACTGAAAAGTGATCTCTGTTAAACATAAGAGTGGGAATAAGAGAGGGAGAGTGGGAGGAGATGTAGAATTTGGGATATGCTCAAGCTGACATGCTGCAAATGGTAGCATTAGAAACATACCAGGCGAATCCAATTCAATCCCATCAAGGCGGCATGTACCAATGCCATCTCACTAGTCCCAGTGATCAATTTCTGTTCACAATTGATCATAATGATAGGACTAAGAACCAAAGGGATCACATAAACAAGACTACTGTCTGCTAATACTAACTGATAGAAGAAAAAAGGGGGAGAACGATCCAATATCAGAAGCGGGATACACAGCAGATTCATAGAATGGCAGATGCACTAAACAGCACTCTGGCCTCAGAATCAGTCCTTAAGGCATTCACATCTGGCTGAAGAGCCCATGAGAGTATTTTAGGCATGGAAAGACAAGACACTCTGGGAAAAAATATTAAACGAAATATCTCTGTGAGTGAGATCCCAGTGGAAAGAACGGGCCATCAAAGAAGGAGGTACCTTTCTCTGAAGGGAGGAGAGAACTTCCACTTTGACTATGACCTTGCCTAAATAAGGTCAGAATTGGCGAACTCAAAAGGCTTCCATAGCCTTGGCAACTCATGACAAGAGCCTAGGGAGATTACTGACGCCATAAACAAGAGTGTCAATTTACTAAGTCAACAACAGGAGTCACTGTGCACTTACTCATCATCTAAGATCTCTGTCCTTAATGTGTTGCTCAATGTGAATTAATGCTATAACTAGTACTCAAACAATATTTTACACTTTATGTTTCTGTGTGGGTGCAAACTGTTGAAATCTTTACTTAATATATACTAAATTGATCTTCTGTATATAAAGATAATTGAAAATGAATCTTAATGTGAATAGAATCGAAAAGGGAGAGGGAGATTGTTGGTTTGCTGGAGGGAGGGAAGTTATGGGGTGGGGGAAGCCATTGTAATCCATGAGCTGTGCTTTGGAAATTTATATTTATTAAATAAAAGTTAAAAAAATAAATAATTAAAAAACTAAAATAAACCCTATGTGAAATCTTTCAGCTGTAAATCCTGCCATGTCATGTATCACAGAACTCACATGGGTTAAAATCCCCATGCTTACAATGAATGTTAGAAAACTATATATCGGAACTTAACTTTCATTAGAAATCATATAATTCACATAGGGGAGAAAACTTAAGAATGTATTGAGTGTGGAAAAGCCTTTTGATGGAAGTCGCACTTCATCAAACATCAGAGAATTCACAGAGCTGAAACAATTTATGAATGTACTTAATGTGGAAAAGCCTTTTGCCCCACCCAAGTCAGCCCTCAGTAGACCTCAACGAATTCACACATCACAGAAACTTTTGAATACAGCTGAGTGTAGAGATTCATTTGGATGGAAATCAACCCTCACTGTACATCAGAAAATTCATACAGGGGAGACATGTTATGAATGTAATGAGTGTGGAAAAGTATTTTAGTGTAAGCTAGACCTCATCAAGCATCAGAGAATTCACACATGGGCAAAATCTTATATATGTAATGAGTGAGGAAAAGTTTTCTTGTCAAACGACAACCCTCATTACACATTAGCAAATTCAAACAGAGAAGAAACCTTATGAAAGCAATGAATGTGGAAAAACATTTTTCTGAAATCCAAGTGGCAAAATAAACAGAATTCATCAAATGTTTTGTCCCAGGTAAGAAATGATTATCTGGTGACCTACATACTCAAGAAATTCTAGACTTATTTGTTTGTAG